TATTTATAACAATTGCTGCTAGCTAAATCCACATTGTCTATATCCAAGTAATGCTCCCAGTCGATTTTAGCTAGCTCTTCATTAATTTTATTATAGTCAGCAGCGTAAAAACTACGTACTAATTGTGTTTGTGTACAATAATCGTGTCTAGTATTTATATATATACGAAGAGGTGGAGGTGGTCATTCTCTGGTAATGATAATAGGGAAACTCTACATACTATACAAGGTGTATCAAATAAGACTAGATCTAACTTTCTATTATTTATATTAACTGAATTATTATATTGAGATAAAGTATTAAAGCATATATAAATAGTAGACATCCTTTTTCGTGTACAATTTATTTATTTTTACAATTATTATTTTTTTTCAAATACTGTTGTCATGATATAGCAGATTATCACTTATTTTTATAGATAGACCGTACTACATAGTTGCAACTAACTTTAGCACTAGAAGTCAAGGGTTAATATTAGTCAAGCATTTGAATAATCAAACAAATTGAAATTATACATGTTAATGTAAAATCTTCATTTGTTAACGTAATAACGTCTAAAATAAGCAAGAAATACATACTTGCAAATCATTGTTTTCAATTCAACTTAATATGTGCATTTTGTACATTTTTTAACCTCTTACTTACCTATTGTCACAGGAGTTAGTATGTAGCAAAGCATACCCTGTAATATTTTATACTGTACTAATTATAAATAAAATTAAAGTACCTATTTAAGATTGGATAATACTCGTATAATTATTAACTATTCAACTAAAATAATTTTAAAATAAAACTCATTTTCGGAATGTTTGTTGTTTTATTTTGTTTTTCGTTCTCGGTGTATCAAATGCTTTACAGTAAAAAAGACTGAAAAATTTGACATCTCAAATGGACTAAGATCTCGCTGCAATATACCTACGTTCATAGCGTATTTAATCCAAACCAATTTTTTATATGCTATAACAAATTGAATTGTTTTGACCGTGTTGCCTATTAAAATGTGCTCGCTAGTATGTTTAATTAAATAAATAATATTTGACTTTTTGTAATGAAAACGATGCTCTTGTTATTAAAATGAATGACACTTCACTTCACAGAAATATATATCTTGAAAAGTGATAGTTGCCGTCGCGCACTTGGCCGCAACCTCTTCGCAGCCAGCTGTAAGCAGTTCATATTTTGTTACGCTTATACGTTCATCGTGTATATTCATCGTTTATATATCAAATTGAAGCTAATTTTTTTCTGTACCTGATAGAGTACGTCTGCCTATGTAAAAGTGGCCGTTAAGTGGTTGCGAGTCATTATAGATCTTTTTGTTACATTTATACTTTCATGGCGTATATTCATCATTTATATATCAAATTAAAGCTATTTTTTTCTGTTCATGATAAAATATCTCTCACCCATGTAAAAGTAGCCGGAATGGAAAGAAAAGAATATAATATTATATATCATTTGTCAAACAATAACAACGGTTACCATGGCAACAAACAGTTAACTAACGCGCTGATTCTCTTTCACTTTAATCTACCTTAGCATCGCGGCTCCACCCGCGTTCAGATGACCAAAAACCAAATTTTTAAGTTTTACATATTAGTATACTCTTACATTGCAGTTTTTGTATTTTTCTCAGAAATGAGACATTTCCCCGCGGTAAAAAATATCCTATATGTTGACCCGGATAACCAGATATCACCACACCAAATTTCATCAAATCCCTCTAGTGGTTTTTTTTGTGATGCGGTAACAGACATACAGACAGACAGACAGACATACAAAAATTCTAAAAACTATTGTTTCGGCCTCTATATCGAAAATAATGTCTATTTTAATAAGATTTTTCAAAAACTATGTCATGTACAGATTCGGATTCGGAACGATCAATGACTGAACTAGCCGATCCGGTACTTGAAACTAAGTACTAACACATACCTCCGTATGTGCAGCCGTACCTAAGCAGAAAATTGCCTAGGAAAATAAGTATATTAAATCTAGAAATAAGTGTGTATTCAGCCATTTTTAACGTCCCACTGCTGGGCACGGGCCTCTGTTCAGTACGAGGGGAATCAGGCCATAGTCTATCACACCGTCCAAGTGCGGGTTGGCGGACTGAAAATTTGCTAGGTTCTCTCAAACATGCAGGTTTCAATCAATCCTGTTGGAAATGTTTCGCACATGAAAATATCAGAGGTACATAATACTTAAAATTTTAGTAAACACAAATACGGTTAAATTAGCTGACTTCGAAAAAGAAATGGACATATTGTTCGATTTGTACATAATATGTATTGTATACATACTTATTTCTAGTTTTTTAATTTAAGGCAGTGGTAGCCCAGTGGTAACGCGCTCGCTTGGGAAACCGAGTGAAGCGAGTTGTTAACCCCGGGTCTCGCACCTATGATATTGTCATGTGCGAATCATTTCGGTTGAACTGTACTATAATGTATGTATATGACATCGATTTAAGGGGGGAGAGAGGGTGGGGAAGGAGGGGAGGGGGTGAGACGGACTCACTTTTTAAAGGAAAAACCGCGGAAGCTAGTAGTTTTCGAGATATTAAATTTTCAAAATTTCAAGTTTTGAGGTTAAATTATTGTGAAAACAACTAGCATTGCACTTAATTTACATTGTTGTATATTTCAACTAGAATGATTACCTAAACACAATAAGTGACAGTTTTAAGACAACTTTTGGATTTATAATAATAGGTACCGGAAAAAGTGGCTACGCATTAAGAAAAAAGTTTCGTTCTGGCACTCGCCGGCCGCTACCGCGGCACACTTGCTTTGCTCGCTCGGCTCGTGCGTAGTGGTCACTGCTCTAATCTAACCAACCTAGAAAGAAAGGTTTCTGCCAAAAAATAACCTAAACCTACTTTGATAAAGCTTTCCTGCGTGGAAATAAAAAACAATTGCAACTGATACTAAAATTAAAACTTCAAATTGGCGTCGCTTTTCATATTTAGTCAATTCTGACATTGAAATAATATCACATAACCAATAAACTATGTACCAGTTTATATTTGTTAATACATACGAATAAATGAAGATTTTAACTATTAAATAATGTATTTAACTAGATTGAAAATAACTCAGAGAATAGAATATTGTAACGAACTTTGTGAAAAACATCGATAAGTGCGTGTACAATTGCGGTAAAATTACATAAAAAGTTATGTAACTTGATTTTTTTTTTGTCAAAACTATTTGTTTCCGCGGTCTCAAACTTTATATTAGGCTTCTAATGGAGAGATCTATTAGTGAAAAAAATATGACGTCTCAACTCGATGTCATACGAGTATATCGTACAGTTCAGCCGCCATTTCTAACATGATTATCACTTGGCTTACTGTGTTAAATACTCTCGTGAGCAAAAAAATCGACTCAGGACGCACGCTTGCGGTTAAAAAGCTCTAGCAAAAAATCGGAAGCTTTTATTATATTTCTGATTATAACATCTCAAAGTTCTTTGTTTTAGCTTTAAAATGAGCGGTCTATGTTGTTATTAAAAAATGTTTTCTGGTAAAGAAAAAATATTGAATGAGATGGAGTCTTAAGCAATAAAAAAGTGATGGTTGACGGTAAAGAAAATACCACGTAAAATTCGTCAAAACAATAATTTAATTAAAAATTTTTTTTAATATTTAGTGTTGCCCCCCTTGGCCCTAATAACAGCTTCCAATCGCTTTTTCATGGATCGAATAAGTTTCCTTACTCGATCTTGTTCGATGCTATTCCATTCGTTGATTAGCGCTGCTTTGAGGTCCGCCATCGTGTCTGGTGCAGGATTTCTAGCTCGAACTTTTCTTTTAAGATCATCCCACAAATGCTCGATAGGATTTAAGTCCGGGCTACGCGCTGGCCAGTCCATAGCGGCAATTGCGACCTCCTGTAAATACTGCCGGACGGAACTTGCAGTATGTGGACGGGCATTGTCGTGCATTAGGACGAGGTTTTCGCCAATGAAACCGGCGTAGGGAACGACGTGATCTTCTAAAATCTCTTCGATGTATCGGATCGCCGTCAATCCTCCCATTCGACCGCCAGTTTCAATAAAAACCAACTCGGTTTTTGCCTCGCTTGAAATGCCGGCCCACATCATCCAGGAACCTCCTCCAAAAGCAACATTTTCTTTGATACAGCACTGCGCGAATCTTTACCCAGGTCTTCTGTAGACTCGTCCTCTTCTATCACTACCATGCAAGCACACTCTACTTTCGTCTGAGAAGAGAACGGTGCTCCACTGTTCGTCAGTCCAATCAACATGTTCTCTAGCAAAACGTAGGTGGGCTGCTCTGTGGTCTGCGGTTAATTTGGGGCCAGTAGCTGGCCTTTTTGGCTCAAACCTAGCTGCCTTAAGTCGTTTTCTGACTGTCCAGCCACTCACAGCTACTCCTCGCGTTTCTCTGAGCTCTTGTTGGACTTGAACGCCAGTGAGGGCCCGATTTCTTAACGATGTGCTGACAATAAATCGGTCATCTCTCTCTGATGTGCACCTTTTTCTACCGGAACCGCGTCTTCGATTAAAGCCACTAGTCTCCCGGTAACGACGGTAAACTCTGGAAACAGCAGACTGGCTCATGTTCAGTGCACGTGCCACTTTACGCTGACTCTGGCCTTGTCGCAATAGAGTGATCGCTTGAACCGCTAAATCGCTTGTTGTGTCCATTTTCAGGTAGAATTTCTCTTTTCACAAGAACCTGTCTTGGACTTTATTAGTCAAATTAGCTAAATGGGTCCAGCCGTTCTAGAGCTTTGAGCTGAGCAATACATTTAGCTATTTAATTTTATTTATAGGATTAAAATATATTCTGTGTCATTAGTCGGAAATACATAAATAACACACTTTGTACTTAATTTGATGTAAATATGTGTAAGAAAAATGTATTTATTGAGCTCATACTTGTATACGCTTCATCACTATTGCAGTAATTCTGCAAGGTGAAGTAACTACAAGTGTGTGTTTTTTTTTAAAGTTATTAAATATTGTCAATCATGCAGGACGAGAAACAAGATGCATTAAAAGGCGACGAAGTGGTTATTAGCGGAATATCCGGAATATTTCCGAAATCTGATTGCGTTTTGGAGTTCATGGAAAATTTATATAATAAGGTATGGTTTTTGTTTTAATTTTCTTAATTATTTTAACTATTCAATTAACTTGATGTGAATTTTCCTGCAAAAGGTGTACAAATGGATTTATAAATGATGTATATATGTACGACTGAATAATAATCTATGAATAAGTATCTTTAAAATATCGCCATACGCTTTATATATATATATATATATATATATATATATATATATATATATATATATATCATCTTTTTGACTTTCAAGCTCATCTTAAATGGCTTCCTATCCGCCTTCGTCATGATTCTTTCATTTCTCTTTAATATCTTTCATAAAATCAATTTTTCCTTTTTCTTTCGTTACCGGTTTAACTTTCTTCTAAGTTCAACGCGTTCTATGCAGCACTGCATCACATCAATGCTTGGCATACCGAGAAGCAAAATCAAGTTTTCCCAAAACTCATTCTCGGTACACAATAATGTGCTATGAAGCAGACTTTCCAAAATCCTACAGGAGAGCCCTTCTAATGATGCAAAAGCATTTTCTAGCTCATTATTGAAAAATATATACATATATTTTTGTTTTGTACAAATATAAGTGTTTATATATTGTGACCTCTATTTAAATTAAAATAAGCTCAAAACACCAGAATAACAATAATCTTTATTACTTTCGTAATCTTATACACAAAAAAATAAGTCCTAAATATTAACAAAAGAAAAGCAAACTTGTAACTACGAGCAATAGATTGCGTTTAAGTAATAAAAGAAATGGGCACAGGGTTCGCACACTAAAAAGTTCCAACAGCTTAAATAAAAAATCACTACTGTCCTGGCTAGCAGAAATCCAACGGGCGGGGATTGAATCCTCCGATAGTATAGGTTGGTTGCAGCAGTATTGTTTCGGCGCGGTAAGTTTCCACGAAGATGAACATGCGCGAGTTATCTTCGTAACTCGTACGTAACTCGTAGGTATTCAGCAGGTAGAAAAACCCTGTAATGCACAAATCGGAGATTTAATAAAATGACAGATTTTATGAACCTGACTGCAACACTAGCGCTGGCTATTTTAAAAAAAATGCAAAGCTCAGGTTAAGTAGCGTAGTTATATATTGATGAGGCAGTTCAGGCAGAATCGTTCTAACAAATGTTCTAACAAATGAATATAATTTTAGCGTACCTAAATAATGTTACAGATCTAATGCATAAAATGAAACAATCAACAAAAATATACATTAACTAGCATTGCCCGCGGCTCCGCCCGCATTCAGATGAACAAAAACCAAATTCTTAGGTTTTACATATTAGATTATTGATTTTTGTTTTTTTTTCTCAGAAATGGGATACTTTACCGCGGTAAAAAGTATCCTATATGTTGACCCGGATAACCAGCTATCATCATACCAAATTTCATCAAAATCCCTCCAGTGGTTTTTCCGTGATGCGGTAACAGACAGACAAAAATTCTAAAAACTATAGATTCGGCTTCTGCACCGATAACATTGTCTATTTCAATAAGATTTTCCAAAAAATATTTCATGTACAGATTCGGCTCAGAATTTTATATGTATAGACAACGGTAAATTACAATGGGATTAGTCTGTGAGTAATTTATTAAACATTGTAGTGACCTAAAGTGAAAATTTATTAACAGAATATACATGTAAGATCTTTTAAGATACTGGACATTTTGAGTTACGATCGCTATCTTTAGGAAATAATATGAAACATAAACTTACTTTTGCAAATAATAAAGTATGTATTACGTGTAAGTAAATATGTTAGTAAAAACAACAAAATATTCGGCGGAACGGAACCCTCGATGCGAGAGTCAAAATCATACTCATTCACATTTGAAAATCATTACGGCCATAAAATTACCAATAGCATAAAGCCCAAGATTTTTTGTAGTTGTTGCGCGAGCGAAGCCGCGGGTTCTGCTAATTTAAGATATAAAATATGATCGTTAATTTTGTTATTTTGTCTGACTACAGGTTGACATGGTGGTATGCGTCGACCCACATTTTGTCCATCCAGATGTTCCACATCATATAGGAAGAATGAATGAACCGAATAAATTGGATGCTCAATTTTTTAAAGTCACGTTCAACCAGGCCATAACCCTGGATCCTATGTGCAGAAAGTTAATAGAACATTCGTATAGTGCTATTTATGATGCTGGTAAAGTTTATACACTAATAATAAAAAAAAACTTTCTTAGTTTTTATATGGTCTTACGGTGAAGGAAAGCATCGTGAGGAAACCTGCATGTCTGAGAGAACCTAGAAAGTTTTGAAATACATGTGCAGTTCTTGGTCAAATATTACTATAGTTATATAGTTTTTACAAATTCTAATTAAAGCCAAAGTCGGAGCTTGATACGATGCTAATAAGGAGGTTTTTCACTTTCTGACTCCAAATTATTCCAATTAATCAGCAATGTAATTTATGTATACAAAACTTTTGTACTGACATTTGAATTTTGTAAACTTTATAAATCAATATGCCTACTAGAAGGATGTTAAAATGATCTTTCAAGATTTGAATAAATATGTAGTTAAATAGCTGGTTAAAAACGCTAAAAATCGTCTTAAAGATGGTCGGTCAGTTACAACATCTAAAATTACATACATACAAATTATTATTAGTAATTGTTGTATCTTCTTCTATTATTAATAATTGTTGTAAACTAATTTTAGTATACTAATCCGATTTTTTTTAATATTTTTATTTTATATGAATAAGTTACAGTATAAAAGTGGCCACACAATAATTTTTAGACGTAATTGTACGTCTAAGTGTTCAATAGTCACTTTTTGTGATTTTGAAATCGGTGTAACTTCTTTGTTAAAATTACAATATTTTTTAAGGAATCAATCCACTCACGTTGGACGGTAAAAAAGTTGGTATATACGTAGGATTGGCTTCCTTAGATGCCGTTAAATTTTTTATGGACAGTGACGTTAAAACAAATGTATTTTTTGTAACTGGGTAAGTTGTGATTTTTATTTTCAAGCCTCATATATACAAATAGTACCTGGGCGACCGAGCTTCCCTCGGAGTTTTTGGGCAGAGGTACAATTTTCTTTAAAAAAATCTAGAATAAATACAAAAAAAAAGTAAAAATGACTGACTGGTTTCGAATCCGGACACCTATGATTGTCGATCATGCGACTTAGCCGCTTGAGCACAATGCTTATATCAGAGCTGGCGACATTATCGAACATAATATTTTGCGTGGAATAATGCAAAAAAACCGCATGAAAATTCGAAAAAATGTGTTTTCCTAGACATAAGACTAATCTAGATCGATATAAATCGTAGTATATATAAATATACTAAATTTCATGAAAATTGTTGGAGCCGTTTCCGAGATTCAGGTTATATATATATATATATACATACAAGAATTGCTCGGTTACAGATATAAGATAGCACGCTATCTAAATGGCCAAAGTTGCATAATTGCATATAATGAGGCGCCCACCAAAATATGTAGCGTGATATATATCTTTTTACATATATATATATATATATATATATATATATATATATATATATATATATATATATATCTTTATATATATAATTCTTCTGTGAGTGTGTATGTCACTGAACTTCTTTCAAACAACTGGACCTATTTTGATGAAATTTTTTGTGTGTGTTCAAGGGGATCTGGGAATGGTTTAGATTCACAATTTGAATAATAATTTTCATCAAAAAAATTAGTTAAAAAAGTTTGAAATTTTCAAATTAAAGACGTGTAGACAGGACAACGTCTGTCGGGTCCGGTAGTATATATATATACATATAATAAAATTGTAACTAAGCCGAATCTGTATATTAAATATTTTTTGGAAAATCTTATTGAAATAAACATTATTATCGATACAGAGGCCGAATGAATAGTTTTTAGAATTTTTGTCTGTCTGACTGTTACCGCATCACAGAAAAACCACTAAAGCGATTTTGATGAAATTTTGAACGGTGATAGCTGCTTATCCGGGTCAACATATAGGATACTTTTACCGCGAAAATATATCTCATTTATGAGAAAAAAACAAAAACTGCATTGTAAGAGTATACTAATATATAAAAATTTGGTTTTGGTTATCTGAACGCAGGTGGAGCCGCGGGCAATGCTCTTATAATATATAAATATACACCATAGTAATTCATATTGTCAAAAATCGCAAGTAATAAAATTATTTATTTTTAGCGCATCCAAAACAATGCTGCCAAATCGCATATCATATTATCTCAATACAAAAGGCCCATCTTACGCTATTGATGCATCTACCGCTAGTTCATTACTATCCTTAGATCAAGCTTACCAACATCTACTTTCTGGTGAAATTGAATCTGCCATTGTTGCTGGATCTAATATTTGTAAGCAGCCAACATTTGGTGTTAATTTAAGGAGGTATAAATATATTTTGTTAATTATATTTATTGTTTTATAATATTTTCTTTATGGAGAGCATTACGTGATTACGTTACGCACCCTTTTTAATTTTACTCTTTAATACTAGATCACTTATGCGTTTTTTTAATCCCTTAAGCACTCATAGAATTCTGTGAACTCCCCATAGAAATTCGGCATATTGTATATGGCATGTCTTAGAAATTCGTAATTCGTATGAAATTCTAACTATTTTTTTAGTTTATATAAAATATACAAATTGGGGTAGCATTTCATAGGTACAAAATGGTCGAGTTTAGGATGCCATAATTTTTTTTGAACACCAATGACAACATGTTCTTTTTATCTTAAAGAAATCCATTATCCATACATCCATACTAATATCATAAATGTGAAAGTGTATTTTTTTCTTTGTTTGTTTGTTTGTTTGTTTGTCCTTCTTTCACGTCGAAACGGATTGGTGTGATTTTTTGTGTGGAGATAGTCAGAGGGCTGGACAGTGGCATAGGCTACTTTTTACTGTGGGAGATTATCTAATTCCCACGAGAATACACGTTATAATACAATCCAAAAAATATTTATGATCAGAATTACTTGAAACTTGGTGTTATTGCTTTTTAATAAAATTAAATAAATAAGTGTTTTAGCATTTTTTGAAATTCATCCTATGAGGAGGTAAAATGGGGGATGAAAGTTGGTATGAAACTATCTTTTTAGAGATTTTTCTGTAGTTTTAGCGCGAGCGAAGCCGCGGGTTATGCTAGTAATTAATAATTATTAGCAAATTGTTTTATTTTTAGAGCAGGACTTACATCTCTTGATGGTAAAACAAAATGTTTCGATGAAAACGGAGATGGCAGCGTAAGATCAGAGGCAGTCAGTGTTATATTTTTACAAAAGGCTAAAGATGCGAAAAGGTACATCTATTTTTGTTTTGGGTTATGTTACCGGTACACTAACTTAACTGTCATGTGAATTAATATTTAATTTTTTTATTCATTTTTAACAGCAGCACACTTTTACACCTTATCTTATTATCTACTATGGCCAACTAAGCATGTTTTATATCTTCAACATATAGGACACATTGAGCGAGATCTGGAACAAGTAATACCATAAAATGTAACCAGAGTTACATACGCTATCACTTGCGTATACGCTTGCAGGATACATCAAGATTATAAAATAATATGATTCCTATCATCAGTTTTGTCTCTCTTCATTTTGATTTCTTTGTCTTTATAACCATCATCAATTTACTCATACTTCCTACATGCGTAAACTATACTTTATCTATTTTTCAGGATTTATTCTCAAGTATATCACGTGAAAAGCGGTTATTCGAAACCAGAAATTCACTGTTTCCCAAATCGTGGAGAAAATGATATTTTAGCATTCTTGCAAGAGTTCTATTCTGAAATTGACGTGGCACCCTCTTCCGTTGAATATGTAGAAGCGAACTCTCCCGGTACAGTATATTTAAATATATGTATTGAGGTTAATATTAATCGAATTATCATACTATTACTCCATCCATCCATCCATAACAATCATAACAAAGGTTCAGATGTATGATTTATTAAGGTTTTGTGTAAATTAGCTGAAATATGCCGATGATCGTTGAAAATGTTGGAAAAAATCATGCGGAATAGGAGCTTCATTGGCGTGCACCGTGTACACTAATAAAGTTCTTCCTATTAAACTGTAGCAACGCTATGTGCAACGGTACGTATCTAGGGATAGATAGAGCGAGGGAAGCGAGGGTAAGTCACTAGTAATATTGTAAAGAGGAAAACTATTTTATTTATCTGTTTGTAACCAGTGATCTATAAAACTATTGAACCATTTAAATATTTCTTCCTTTCCTTTATCCATTAGAAATAAATAAAAAATTGTTACTGTTTGTCTCTACTATATTTCAGTAATATTTTCTCCTTGAGGTATCCCGACTGAGTCTAATTTAGTTAATTACAAATAAAAACACTAATCACACATGAAAATAAAGCAAATAAAAATGTTAATGATGTAACTTCCATTTATTTTATTTTTCTAAGGCATTGCATCTCGCGACAAAGTGGAACTTAAAGCAATAAGTAGATTTTTTGGAGATAAATCACCAGTTAAAGTTGGAAGTGTAAAGTCTAATATGGGTAATAGTGAGGGAGCCTCCGGCATGTGCTCGTTAACTAAGGTTAGTTTAAATATCCCTACAGAAAAATAATTATTAATTTCATTTTTATTAATCAAGTAATTATTTTTATTATTTTCAGGTATGTCTAGCATATCACACTGGAACTATTGCTGGTAACATAAACTGTTTGAATCCTATGAAAACAGAGAAGGCCGTTATATTAAAAGAAAACGTACCATTTAATAGAGGATTCATCGCCATAAATGATTTCTCGTACACCGGAAATAATGGCCACGCCCTACTTAAAGGATATTATAAACCAAAGGTAGTTAATGATTTCACATTATGTACCTGATTCAAATATTGTGATTGCATTTTAAATGCAACCATATATTTTATTTTGAATCATTAAAACTTCTTGAAATATTTGCTATTCTTATAAAGCACTGATGCTGCCTATCAACATAAATATGTATATATAGGCACGCACGTGAAAACTTTATCTTAATCAGATGATAGATATAGGAAATAAATACAGAAAAACAATCTTTACCGAAAAAAAACAAAGAAATTTCAGAAAAATAATAAAATAAGAAAAAATATAAGAATAATACATATGTGGTAACGTTTTTTTTATACGTTATATTGTGTACCATAAACGGTAGCATCAAAACTTAATTTTTAAATACATATTGTATATTTTGTTAAGATTTAGTATTTTTTGGACATTCTCCTATTTATTATATAATTTAACTATACTAAAATTAGTTTACAATATACATAAATGTACAAAACTGTTATAATTAGCAAGTATATCGTTTTAATGTTATAAAGTGCCTTTGTTACAGGATTACAATCGTTACAAATGCAGTATACCTTATTTAGTATTGATTTCTGGAAGGGATGAGGACTGTTTAAACCATCTTTTTGATACTTTACAAGGCTATCCGGTGGACCCTGAATATGTAGGGATGTTACATCAAATTCACAATTGCGAAATTAAAGGGCACACATCGCGAGGATTTATTATGCTAGGTACGCTATCTACGAGTATATATAAATTGGCTGAGATAAAACAGTTAAGTACCTTTTTCATAGCCTCTATTTGTCAATCGATTTTCTTTTTTTCTGTTTAGTAGCTATTGACGTATTTTAGTGTTATAAAAAGAAAATGATGTTCATATTTCGACACTGGATGAACGTGACCACTGATTGAATATTGGAATAATAAAAAAAAGTAAATAAACAATCCATCAAAATGATAAGTTATGAAAAAAAGTATTACATGAATTATATTATAATATTTTTCAGATGGCAATGCAAACCAACAATCAAGAGCACTGTCAAGGAGCGTAGAATATTGTGCAGGTATCAAACGGCAAATTTGGTTTCTCTTTAGTGGCATGGGGTCACAGTGGGTTGGTATGGGAGAAGCCCTGATGCGGATACCAATATTTAATGAAGCAATTCAAATGTATGTACCGATTGAAATATGTTAACTATCTAGATTTAATCGGTCAACAATCGGTTAAGGATAACTGCTTTAAAATTCAGTTGCAAGATTTGGCCCGAATCAATAAACATTGCAAGTTAAAATTAAGCTTGTAATAAATTTATAAAAGTTAATAAGATAAAATTATGTTTCAGATGCGACAAAGCTCTAAAGCCTAAAGGATTAGATATTATAAAAATACTATGTGATAAAGATAAAACTATATTTGATAATATTCTACATTGTTTTGTGGGTATCGCTGCAGTACAAATTGGTCTTATGGATATATTGAAGGCTATTGGAATCGAATGTGATTATATGATTGGTAAGCATTTACAATATTGCAAATAAAAAAAATTATTCGTACTTTAACAGGATGAATAATAAATAAAAGAGGCTGTTGCCGTTCGTCCGATAATCGGATAAATAAAAAACATATTATTCTTCCGACTCTTGCCAGTTTCTGCAAGTATTTACCACATTTTTGTTTAATGAAAAGTAGGTGATTTTTAGGTGCAGGAGTTCCTATTTAAAAACAAAATCTTAACCACCACCAAACCAGTTTGTGTACCAAACCAAATTATTTATAAGTATTTTGTTTATAAAATATTTTATGATATTTTTTTTATTTCTAAGGTCATAGTGCTGGTGAAACAGCATGTGGGTATGCCGACGGATGTTTTACTAGAGAACAGATGATCCTTTCCGCGTATAGCCGAGGGAAAGCGTCTTTAGAAACCAATTGTATTCCTGGTGCTATGGCGGCTGTAGGAATGGGGCATAAAGATGTAAGTCTTACTAATTTCTTTTACTAAGAGTACAATGTCCTTACATATGAAATTGGCGTTTTGTCAAACTGGCGACTTTGATCTCAAATATTTGGCGTTTGGTTAGGAATTCCAAATTCAAATTTATTTCAAACTAGTGACTCACCCTCGCTTCGCTCGGGTTCGTCCTTAGCTTGCTTCCCAATACAAACTTTCATCCCCATTTTCAAGCTATACAACTGAGACTAGTCAGTTGCTCTAGCCTACTTCTGCTTCAGGACAAGGCCAGACCACATACTGCACAACAGACGGTCGCTAAATTACAGGAGCTACGATGGAACTCCCTGGAGCTTGTTCCAGATTATCACTGTTTCCCCAATTTGGACAATTTCTTGCAAGGAAAAAATTTAATTCCGATGAGGCAGTCAAAACCGCCTTCAGAGTTTTATTGATTCTCGCTCTCACAATTTTTCCAGCAAATAAATTAATAAATTATCTATAAGATGGCAAAAATGCATAGATAACTATTGTTATTGTACTATTGTACATACTTATACTGTATGTATACATACTTATACTTATATTGTACTATTGTACATACTTTGATTAATTAAATATATAATTTCATGTCTTTTTTTTTCTTTTTGTTTTTTCCATATAAAACGTCAATTTCAAATGTAATGAGCTGATAATACATACCTTATTTATCCTAATTTGAAATAAAAAAATTATATAAATAAACGTTTATTTACTTTTTATATCAAAATTTCAAAATAATATTTATAAAACTATGCTGTACGTCTGTATACTTCCTTAAACTGTCAAAATATATAATTAATTTTAATAAACCTAATAGGAAATAGTGTAATCAGCCCACGAAACTTTTGTAATTCTTTCAAAAAATAATGTTTTAGCCACATATACAGATTTTAGACACATACATATATTAGATATTTATTAATTGATATATCGTATTAATACCTTGAATATATATTTTTTTTAGTTAAACCCCATGTGCCCACCAGAGATTGATATCGCTTGTCATAACAGCTCTGAATCATCGACTATATCAGGACCAGCTGACGATGTCGCACAGTTTCTCAAAGAATTGACAGCGAAGGAAATATTTTGTAAAGAGGTGCCGTGCAGTAACATTGCCTTCCATTCTCGGTACATTGGTGTAGCTGGTAAGATATATTAAGAGAAATTAAATACGTTGCTATATACATAATTATACTTATTTAGAATTAACATGGTAAACAAATAATTTCATATTTTTATCATATAACTAATATCAACTGTACCAATCAAAATTATAATATCGTCAGAACTGCCCTAGTTTAGATGTAAACGTTCTGTAAAAGTTTAAGCATCTATCTCTTATAACTGTATTTGTAACTCACCTATTTGTTTTAATTCTTTTAAAGATCTTTGAGCAACTAAATAATGAATAAACGAAACTGATTACCTAACAAGACTTCAATGAAATTGTTCTTGTTACCGGTCTTCCATGATGGATTCATAATTAAAAATGGTTAAATATTACAAGCTATTTTGTAAATATAATACGTAGTAGCAGCTCACCTTCGCTTCGCTCGGGTTCGCCTCTAGAAAACAAATATAAATCTATCCCACGGGACCTGTGTATTTTTCCTGGATAAAAAGTAGCTTATGGTTAATCTCATGTATGAGCTATATTATTGTAAAGTTTTACTAAAATCCATTTAGTAGTTTTTGCGTGAAATAGTAACAAACATTCATACATCCAGACATTCATATATTATCCTCACAAACATTAACATTTATAATATTAGTAAGAGAGATGTTTTGATTTTATTTAGCTCCAACTCTAAGAAACTTTTTGAATGAGGTCATCAAAGAACCAAAATTACGAAGCAGTAAATGGTTATCTACATCACTGCCAGAAGATAAATGGGAAGAACCCAGTGCTAAATTTTCTTCTCCTGAATACTTCACCAACAATTTATTGGTAGACATTCTTCTTATATTTAAACTATTATATATGTAATTGAAGTCTATTTCTTTATCAAATTTCGGTCATTTAACACTTCAAGAAGTCTTCAAGTCATTCATTAAATTAATTATTATTTTGCAATACTTTAAAATATATTTCTATAAATCACTCACAATATTAAGAACATTTTTCACTTTCTCTGTATACAACATCAATTTAATATTAAATAATATACTAAGAATATATCTAATACTTTCTTAGATTTACGCGAATATTCGACATTTTAAATAAAACTATCTTTTCGGATTATTTCGCGGATTTATTTTGATTTTTGGTTCCCGACGTTTTGAATGCTTTACAGCATCCATGGTCACGGGAGAGATTGAGGTATTACATGTCTTGAATGTACAGTTGTTACAAATTTCAAGTTCAAATAATCCGAAAAGATAGTTTTATTTAAAAAGAATATATTTAGCAAAAAAAAACAAAGGTTGCAGTTTAGCATATGGGACGCGGCCCCTGGAGGAGTGGGTGGTATTTTTGGATAGGGGATTTTTGAAGGTGATAGAGACTCCAAATATATAAAAATTATTTTGAGGAAATAAAAGAATCAAAAGTTATTAAGACTTAAAATTACAACATTTCCATACATTATTTAGACATTACTGCCCTTAAGACACTTGGAAATATCAAAATGTCACTTTCAATTGTCAAAATGATCTCCAGATTATGTTTTGTCGTGTTTTTAATTATACTTTGCGTGAAATTTGAATTTTCTAGTTTTCTAGTCATATAATAATGGCACTCACCGGCCGCTGCCGCGGCACGCTCGCTTCGCTCGCTCGGCTCGTGCGTTGTGGTAACTGTTCTAACATAACCTAACCAAGATATGAAGAATAATAAATAAATAAGCCTATGTCTTAAACTAACCATGATGTCGCAAAATAAAAACCAAAAGTAAATAATATACTTAGATTTTAAAAATAGTCTACTCACGTTTATAAATTGTATTAATATAATCTGTTGTCATTTAGGCGGTAATGTAAAACAGAAATTGACAGTTGTCTAAATGTACGATCATTTTGTTTACAATAGGTACTGTTGTGAAATTATTAAAAAATTAAATACAACAAAGCCTTAATTGTGGTGGAAATATGTATTGTACATAAAAAAGGATGTATACTATTCGTTAAAGGTATGTTGATCATTTGTAATCACATAGTTAGGTAAAGAAATGTATGGAAATGTATTAGACATATTGTAACTTTAACTCTCAATAACTTTTTACTCTAACGTTTCCTCATAATATTTTTTATATATTTTGACTCTCTGTAACCTCCCCTATCCAAAAAATACACCCACTCCGCCAGTTGGTAATGAAATGTATGGAAATGTATGGAAATGTTGTAACTTTAAGTCTCAATAACTTTTTACTCCTACGTTTCCTTAAAATATTTTTTTATATATTTGGGCTCCCTGTCACCTACCCTATCCAAAAATACCACCCACTCCGCCAGGGGCCGCGTCCCATATACTAAATTTGTGCCAAAACAAAAAATATGAATATTATGTTATATTCAAATAAAAATATTATTTTTCGTAGAATTATGTATACTTTGAAGAAGTATTACAACGTATTCCGTCTGATGCAGTAGTTATTGAAATTGCGCCGCACGGCTTACTTCAAGCAATTTTAAAACGTGAGCGTAAAGACTGTTTACATATTCCTTTAACGAGACGAGGACATGAAGATCAAATAAAGTTTTTATTAGAAGCAATTGGAAAGTAAGATATTGTATCAAATACTGTATTTAGTCTTGAAACTATCAATATTTGATAACCATATTTTTCAGAATATACGAAGCCGGATATAATGTGAAGATTGATGCTTTGTATCCAAAAATCGAATATCCTGTTTCTACCGGAACACAATTTCTATCGCATTTAGTTAAATGGGAACATACTGAGGACTGGTATGTTATTGTAACGTTCTACGCATTCGGGAATTGCAAATTAAAATACGTCTTTTGCACTACTCATGTTTAATTGCTGTTGGTTAACAAGGTTGACTTATGGAGATTCACTAACACTCGCAGTAGGTATATACTGCGAGTGTTAGTAAGCCACAGGACTGGTGAATTCAGTTACTGAACACTAATTTTCTCCACTAGATATAGACTTTCACTATAACTTCACTACACTTTTTTACACTTTTTCATACTTCTTCTCAGTCTTTATTTAACTTCAAAATTTAACTGATCTCTTGACATACTGCGGCCTTTTAATACACTTAAACAAAGAAAATTCTAGTATTCAAAATTTACGAAACCTTTCTAGTTATTTCTTTCTTTGTTCTTCTCTTACTCTTACACACGGCAATTTACGATTAACTGTCCTTGTTTATTCATTGTCATGTATTGACAACTGACTATGGATGTATGAAGCATGCTTCAGACGTGCCTTTTTAATTATTATTTTCGGTGTAATGACGTTACACACTCTTCAATACGCGATAATATTAAAGTTACTTATTTATTTAAGTAAAATACTTGATGTATTTTAATAAAACGTTTAAGCTAGTAACTACATTAATAAAAATGAATAAATATAATACAATTAAACCAACAATATGTTGAGTTGTTGTAAATAAAAACAAGGGTTTTATTTTATTGTAGAAATTATTATTTTATTTTTTTAGGCTCGTATTAAAACGTTCTGAACAAAGTATTGTTTCAACTAGGAATCGCGATGTCGTTATTTCTCTTAGTGATGAAGACTATGCATGTATCAAGGATCATGTGAGAGATGGTGAGTATTAAAATATTTTAAATAAAACTATCTTTTCGGTTTTTTTCGCGATTTTTTTTTATTTTTGGTTCCCGACGTTTCGAATGCGTTACAACCATCATAGTCCGGGAGAGACTGAGGTGTTAGATGTCTCAAAAGTATTATATAGTTATTACAGACAGCCTACCCACAAATAACAAAATGAATTCAAAAAATTGAAAAATGGCACCAAAGTACCTTACAATATTTTTTTACTTTAAATATTTTTATACCTAATATAAAATATTTTAAATAATGTTTTTGAAGAAGTTTGTAAATTTTCGTGAATATTTGATATTTATGTTTTACATTGCATTTCTTGCTATACGGACGTGTTTAATAATTATGAACAAATTCATAATTATTTATAAAGTAAAATAAGTAAGCGTGTCAGGAGTGTGCAAGTATGAACTAGATGTGATATTATAAACAAGTTATGTTTCTGCTGCGGTGGCGATGGCAAATCCAGAATTTAGCCCATTTGGCCGCAGTCAGCTGATACAACGAAGTCCACCACATACTCCTACTCAATCCTACCTATCCCAATGCTCATGGATACCGAACAGTCCTCTGAAATCCATGGGCATCGGTGATCATTTTTTATCAGATGAGCCTCCTGCCCGTTTGCCCCCTTGGTCCCATAAAAGACCTGCAATTATGTGTTGGAAATACGCCTAAGATAAGTAGGATAGGCCGGTCTATGAGTACGCACTTAAGGTATAAACAGTTCTAAAATTAAATTAAATATCTCAAGATTTTTTAGGAGGTTTTAAGTTTAAGTTTTAAGCTTAAAACCTCCCTAACTTGGTTAATTTTGACCGAATGAAAAAAAGTCATAAAACCCTTTTTGATGTAAAATTTTAAGCTACTACATATTTTTATTAAAATGTTTTTGTCTAACTTTTACCGTTTTCGAGTAATTGTAAAAAAATACTTTTGACTATTTTTTTTGAACCTTTGCCGGGGGTTGCGGACACTAACACCTTAACACATTATTTTTGTATCATTAAAACTACATTATATCAAAAATGCAAAGTTGAGTGCCAACATTTTAATTTCAGATCTTATTTGACTGGACTAATTATTTTATTATTATCGTATAAGTGATATTTTAAATGAAAGATACAGCTAGTCTATACTAATATTATAAAGAGGTTAAGTTTGTGAGATTGTGAGCTTGTGAAGTTGTAGGGGGTAATCTCTGAATCTACTGAACCGATTTAGATGAAATTTTGTAAGAAAATAGTTTGAGACTCTGGAAAGGACATCAAATACTTATTATCCCGGAAATCATCCTTTAACGGGGTGAAAATGGGGATGAAAGTTTTTATGGAGAAACAAGCAAGGGACGAGCCCGAGAGAAGCGAGTATGAGTCGCTAATTTATAATATAGTTAATCAAAAGATACATCTTTTGTTATACGTGCATATAAAGATTTTTGTTCAATAAATAAATAAAATTATTCATACACCGAAAAAAGTAGTTAAATATAATATGTCTAATTTTAACAGTATAATTGTTGGATTTTCTATTTTTACTCAGTTATACATCGATGTGCTTTGTAAATTGCTTATGAGTCATATTATTACGACATATGCTTGAGCGTGGAAAGGAGGCTTACCTAATTTAATTAATTTATGTTAAAAATATTGCATTTACTTACAGGTATGATCGTTTTACCTGAAAGTGTATTACTAGTATTGACGTGGCAAACGTTGGCTATGTCGATGGATATGAATTTCGAGGATCTTTCAGTAATATTCAAAGATATAAATTTCAACACTCAAGTAGAATTAAAACCAGAAAACTTACTAAATCTTAGCATATCTATAACAAAGAAGAATGGCAGATTTGAGGTAATTTTATAATTGTAAAAAAATATAAATGACGTTAATATATCAAATATATTTTTAATTGTTTTTTTATTAAATAGATGATTCAAAAGACTGACCTTTCAAAGCACGCGGAGCCACAGGTGGCTCGGTTAACAATTAATTTCTTAGAATTTAACCGCGAGGTGTTAAGAACGTTTTGAATGAAATAAATGTTTTTCATAACTCACAAAAAATAAATCTAATAAAAAATATGCATTTCAGGTAGTTCATAACAATGAAATAATTGTAACTGGTTACATACTTGAATATGAGAACGATCCAATGAGAAAGGTTAATCATTCTAGGGCCAACACAATAAACGACGTAACTTTGTTTGCAGCAGATATATACAAATTCCTTAACCTTCAAGGGCACGTGTATACGTATGTATGCAAGTTATAAAAAACGTATGTTTTGATCATATCACTAGTCTAGTACTAATGATATGATCAAAATATACGTTTTATAACTAACTAAATGTTAATAACTACTACTTTTTGTATGTTACGTAAAAAAAGCACTTTTATTTAAATTATAACATGCCGCTATAGTATTACAAACTTCACCTCATATCGAACTGAGTCAACATAACTAATTAATTATTGCACTATTATAAAATCTACCTAATTTAAAGTTTATTACTCCATAATTTAACTATTTCAGAAATCAATTTCAATCTCTTCATTCGCTAAACTTTAAATGCAATGAAGCATACATAAAATGGGCTGGTGATTGGATCACGTTCCTAGATGGCTTAATACAGATCAACATATTAGCAAGCAATCACAATGGTATATCTAGACCGAAACTTATAGAGAGTTTGACTATTGATGTTAATGAGCACGCCAGTGGAAAATACAAATCTAACATTGATGGCGCTATCTGCTATAAAGCAGACTATTATGAGAACTTTAATATTCTAAGGTAAGATATTCTAAGGTTGTGTTTTTTAACACCTCCAGCTAAATTTCTAAGAAATTAATTAAATTTCTAAGAAATCTATTGTAAACTGTAACGCCGGCGTGCCCGCGGTCGTGGAGGGATAATGTATTTTAGGAAAGATAAGTGTGGTAGATTTTTCTAAAACTATTTTGTTGTTGCTTTATTCTTGCAGAAGTGGCGGTGTTCAAGTTGTGAATGTTAATTTTGAAAATCTTATCCCTCAGCGGGTCGAATCTGATTTCTTAGGCTCGTTACAGTTTTGGCCACACTTTTCAGAAACAGAACTCGAAGTTAGTATTTGTATTATTTGATTAATTATATAATAGAACATTATTTACGACAGTAAATTATATTAAAATAATTATTTTTACAGTTAAACACAGCTATCGCAATAAATATGCAAATAATTGCTGATGCTACTCTGCAAAAGGACATAAGAATAACGGAGCTTAGAACATCAAACATAAATATCATATCAAATGCTATAAAAGACGTGTCAACTCAACTCCTTATAAAATTGAGATTTAATTATATCAATATTGAAAATAGAAAACTAAATCTTTTGAAAAAACATGATTTATCTCAGTCAGAAGTAGTAGTTGTTTATGATTTTATAATGAATACCGAGGTATATTATTGTTGTTCTGTTTCATCTTCATATTGTCTATGTTCTCACAATTTTTGATAGAATGTAATTAGAAATTAAATAAGAATTGTTGAGTGTACATTTTAGCAGAGATATTGAAATACAAATTTAATGTATTTTGTTTTAAAATTAAGAACAGTCAAAATATTCACCTTTTTCTAGATGGCAGACTAAGCATTTGAATAAGTCATGTAAAATTCATTTTATTTCAGATGATGGCTGCAATACATGATCAGCTACCAAGCAATGGATTTGTTTTTTCGTTAGAAAAAAGAAAAAATAAAAAATACATCATTCAAACTGACTATTTTAATATTTTAACTGTATTTCCTACTTATGACGATTATACATTAGTTTTATTAAACAAAGTTGAAATTAATCAAGTTGTAAAAGATAAAGTTGTTGTAAAAGTTGATGATGATACCTTCTCTTATATGAATACATTAAAAAAAGAGCTTAACAATAATAAGAGAATTGTACTACTATACGAGAAACAAATCTATTTTGACCTAAAGGGTAAGAATGTAATTATTCGTTTAATTTTTACGGCCACACTGATATGGTGTTAGATCTCTATGTGGTTTTGACTTAGAGATAAGAAGAATAAGAAGACAAAAAAAAGTTTCTAAGGCAAATATAAAGTTTAATTTATAAAATACATATATGAGTTACTAGATATTCTTCTTCTTCTCCCTGCACATTTCCTAATCACTTGAGGTCAGCGCTATACATCTTCTGTACTGCTGATAAGATTTGATAAAAGTTTTACAACCGGCCGCCTGTCTGATGTCAACCCTCCTTGGGAATGCTATGTCTCTCTTTGTCTCAATGGTATCGCGGAGTTTTGTAATATGCACTTTCGATTTTTTTGCTCTTTAAACCATTTTTTACACTATTATTGAAATTTTTTATGTTAATTTCAGATATATTTTAAAATAAATTTTGATTACATAATGAATTTGGTTTTCACGTTGTCAATTTTTTCCTAAATTTATGGGTTACTAGATATTATTAAGTTTAAATACGTATGGCTCCCTATTATGTTTAAGAAAGCAAAAGTGTGTTTATTTGTTGCTTGTTCTTATCCAAAACAAAAGAGGGACTTTTTCTTTTGTGCTATGCATCAAAATCAAAAAATAAATTGACATATACGAAGTTTTTTATAATTACTTTTGAATTTTTAGGTTACTTGAGAGGCTTACTCAAAGAATATCGAAAAAAAATTAGTTTGTATATGATATTAGATGAAGGATCGCCTGTTTTTAATGTCAACAATAATTTCTACAGTAAACAGCTGCAAAAAAATCTACCATTCAACACACTGTATGATGTAAGTAATGAGCTAGTTATAATGTTCTGATTAAATTTTAAATGTTGTATCATAGAACCTGATATATTTTCATTAATTATTTTTACAGGGTAAATGGGGAGGATATTATTACACCACTTTCAATAATTACAAAGGTGTTCCCCAAAATTCTAAACTTAGTCTAACAGAACTTGGAAACATAAATAGTTGGCACTGGGAGGAGATTGATAATCTGAATAATTCCAATACTGTTGAGGTAAAAATATATTCTATTTTATATGTTTTCAGCTCTTTTTAACGTCCCACTGCTGGGCACGGGCCTCCCTTCGATAGGCGGGGGATCAGGCCCGATAGTGCACCACGCTGACCAAGTGCGGGTTGGCGGACTTCACATGTATTTCACATGTATGAAAATGTCAGAGATGTGAGACCCGGGATTTGAACCCGCTTCACTCGGTTTCCTAAGCACACGCGTTACCACTGGGCTACCACTGCCTTACTTATTTTATATGCCAAAATATTTTTGAATATTTATTAATTTATTTGTAAAACTATTTTTTACAGTAATAAATATTTTTGTAAATATGGGAATATTATTGTGATTACAGGTGCATTATTCAGGATTGTCATTAAAAGATGTAGAAAAAGTATTCGGAAGACCAGTTAATAACAAAAAAAAATCTTTTGGTATGGACTATAGCGGTTTTGATGCTAGGTAACTGTAACTAAGGCCACATAATCACTAAAACAATAAATAAAATTAATAATGACAGAAAGAAAGCGTAACACTTTTATATTTTAGGGGTAATCGGGTGATGGGAATCATTGCCGATGGCGCAATTTCTAAGGAAATTGAATATGATTTAGATTTACTTTGGCCCGTTCCAAAAACTTGGTCTTTAGAAGAAGCAGCGACAGTTCCTCTAGCGTACGCCCTCGCCTATTATTCTCTGGTAAAGAAACAATAATTTAAATCTTAATGATTGACAAATAATTAAAATTCGTAGTTGAATTATTCAAAATTTTATTCATAAATTGTGATGTATGACGTTAGACATTTATCTATTCTTTTTTTTTAGGCACTTAGAGGAAATTTGTATGCAGGAACAACAGTTTTTGTTAATGGCGGAGCTGGAGCACTCGGACAGGCAGTAATATCGATTTGTCTAAGTTTAAATTGTGATATATTTACCACAGTTAGCGATCCTGGCAAGAAAGCGCTTCTACTTAAGCTATTTCCTACATTAAAAGGTACGTCTGTCTAATTTCTACAAATTTAGAATTCATAATAAGCGCATTTGAAAGGTTACATTTTGCTCAAATAAATAAATCAATAATGTTTTGAAACATACATTGCTGTACTATAAAAAATTATGGTCTCCTGGCCGATTCCGGCCACGGCGGCCAATCTCATTGAGACGAGCCATTGCGCAGGAGATATTATAGTGCACAAGTGTACGCGCAGACACAAGTGCACTCTCTACTCCTGTCACTCTCATACTCCGGTGGGACGACTACTTGATATGACCAGTGAGAGTTAAGGTGCAAGGCCGACGGCTTTACGTGCTTTCCGAGGCACAGGGTTGAAACACCGCCAACTTCCCAACTCCAAGCTGTTACTGAGGCTCACTATACAGAAAAACTCAATAACTGAACTTGGCCCGACCCGGGACTCGAACCCAGGACCTACGGGTGTGCAGCCGTACATACTAGCCACTACACGACCGAGGCAGCTAACACAAAATATAGTTTAGCTCAATAAATAAGATCGAGGATATCTAATATACAAATGTATTGAAATTCAGTTGAACTATTTTAATAGACATATTCTTTAAATTAACAATGTCATGCTAGTGCACTAACAGGCGTTTTTTAAAGACAAAATTATTTCGTTTAATACTTAAGAGAATTATTTCGTTTAATACTTAAGAGAAACTACAATAATTTAAATAAAACTATGTTTTCGAATTTTTGCGAATATATTTAGATTTTTGGTTTCGACGTTTCGAATGCTTTTACATCAATCATGGCAATGGCGGCACTAAATATAGATTACCTACTAATTAATATTTTTTGTAAAAAAATGTAATAATTATAATAATTACAGGTAAAATTAAAAGAATAATACTCCATATTCAATTATAAAACTAATTAAAATTATAAAAATGTTTAAAATTAAAAATATATTGTAAGTTACTTTGGTGCAATTTTCAATTTTTTGAAATCATTTTGTTATTTGTGGGTAGGCTTTCTTTAACAAATATATACTTTGAGATATCTAACACCTTAGTCCCTCCCGTGACCATGATTGCTGTAAAGCATTGGAAACGTCGGGAATCAGAAATCAAAATAAATTCGCGAAAAAATCCGAAAAGATAGTTTTAATTAAAATGTCAAATATTCGCGTAAATCTAAGAAAGTATTAAATTTCAATATATTCCTGTAAGTGGCTTTATAGATTGAGAGTTGGTCCTTCGTCTGATCTCACCGATCCTTTTGGATAGCCATACTATATTAGATACTTAGATCATGGAACTAAAGAATACAGTATGTAAATGAGACTATGCACACGTGACTATGCACGCTCGTGCTTTATATAACACTCTTACCCGATGTTTAATTCTGTGGGAGTCGCCAGAAAAATTTATGGTTTATAAATCTTTTAGGTAACTTTTTATTTATTTTCAGGAAATCAAATTTTAAATTCAAGATATGATGACTTTTATGCATTCGTTATAAGACAAACCAACAACGAGCTGTGCAACTATGTAATCAACTGTGAAAGCGGTATATTCCGCACTGTAAGTCAATTATACTTCTTAAAATATATTTTTTTGTTGTACATAGCATTTTAGTAGAACCCGCTTCACCCGCAATCAAACTGCAAAAAAAAAAAACACTTTGGTTTTAAATTATAACTAATAATTTGATGGCTGTAATAATTATCAAACGTCTGAGTATGATTTTGACTCGCGCATCGAGGGTTCCGCACCGCCGAATATCATGTTATGCTTACTAACATATTTAGACACTAAAATATTATTTACGCTTTTACAATGCATACTTTATTATTTGAAAAAATAAGTTCGTGTTTCATATTATTTCTTACAGATATTGTGGAAAACAAACTTTATTTTAGCGATCGTAACTCAAAATATCCACTATCTTATAAGATATTTAACGTAAATAAATATATTATGTAAATAATTTTTCTATAAAAGTATTTAGCAAGCTCCACTACCGCTATTTTTGCACATTTTGTACTGCACTTTTCCAAAGTTAGGAAGACAGTACAAAGACCTCGTATAAAATGTTTACTACTTTAGATAAATAGATTTTCTGAATTGGTAGCTTCGCTTTTTGTACGGTTTGCTCAGTAATAAGAAAATTTTTAAACTTGCTGATTTTTGTATAAGTGGATAAACTACACTGGGGTAAGTTAACCCAAGGAGGCTATTGCTCCCCCCCCAACGTGCGTTCACCTTGTCGTGGTGGGGCGCTCAGTAGTGCTCGGCAACCCAACCGCAACTTCTTTCTCTTAGATAAATATATTTTCGATATCAAGTTATAATGAAATTTAGCCAACCAATTTATTATTGTAATACTCTTGTACCCCCCCAACGTGCGTTCACCTTGTCGTGGTGATGGGGCTCAGTAGTGCCCGGTAACCCAACCGGGCGCGAAGCCAAGAAACGCACAGGGAGGTGGCCCACTTTGGTGGGCGGTGTACCATGCGGGTTGCTCCTGGTACTTCTCTGATAGCAGAGTGGACCTTGGAGCAACCCCATGGTTGTGGTGGTCTGCTTCGGCAGACCTAGTCGTAGGCGTCGTAGTTGAATGCGTAAGCGATCCTGCGACACCCCATTAAGACGGGGGAAGGTTTTGTTGGGTTTTAGTGGGTAGTACTGTGTGTGTACGGTGAGTCCCACACCTCGTGCGTAAATGCATTTCCCAACTCATAACATGTGGGAGGATAGCTGAAAAATTTTACCGACATAGCGATCAGACAGCAATTGCTGCCGGAGAGGAAGAAGGGAGTCAACACACTCGATTTGCTTAGGCATTAGTGGAGGAAGAACTCATTGTACCTAAAATTAAACGAATGCGTTTGTATTGTATTTTATTTAATTTAGGCGCCACTCACCAGACAGAATTTGAAGCCTTGCTTTTTGATGGATTTGCTCAGTAATAAGAAATTGTTCAGACTTACTGACGTTTGCATAAACGGTTACTGCTGTTGATTATAATTGAATGATCTTATGCACTCTTTAACACCGTGAATGTAATAAAAGAGATATAATATTATATTATTATATGGAAAATAAATAAAGCATATTTCAGTTAAATGAATAAAATTATATGCAATTTAAATACTGAATTAATTTTTGTATAATATAATTTTTCAGGCTGCAATAAAATGCCTATCAATTTTTGGCACCTATTTAGATTTATCTAATAAGGACATGATAGACAACAAACCCTTGGGCATCAGCTTTGCAAATGAATTTAAATATTACTATAGTGTCAATTTTTGTAGTATTTTTGAACCGAAATATACACATGAAAAGAAAGTAAGTAATGAAATATTTTATACTAAAAACATTATATGGCATACTGAACTCATCGGAATCCGTTTATTTTTAAGAAAAAAAATATTTAAACCCTGAAATTTTATGATTTTAAATTGTTAGCAGGTATATAAAGAATAGAAATTCGTAAAATGCCCCCGATGCCCAGCTACCCATGAGAAATAGGGGGACGCAAAGCGTTGAAAAAAAGGTTTTTTCAATTTCCACCTTACTGTGACGTTCTATCGAAAAATGTTTTATTTATTTTTTATTTAAAAAAATAATAACACAAAAAGATTCCACGGCAAAAAAGTACAAAAATTGAAACCATACCATATGATACATATGGTATGGATAGTTTACAAAGTACAAATTATTAAATTCTCCAATTTTTTTTTATCTTTAAGGGTGTTTTTACAGGACGACCATACAATGTTTTTATTTTTCCAAAAAGAAGAGTTCAAGACAAGAAAAAAATGAGCTCTATCTGAAAATTAAATATATTTTTGTACATGTAAGCATCCAATTGAAGTTAGAGTTGATTTTCAGCCTGTCGAGACCATAAAACACACTTTTCTCGGAAATGGCTAAACATTTCAATTTAATTTTTTTATATATATATAATGTTTTTGAAGATTCCCTTAGTTTCATGAAAATCAAAAGATTATTCTAGAAATTAAAAATAATAAACCAAGAAAAAGTTAAAAATGTTTATGTTTCTTGCAAATATCTCAAAAACTTTGAGGTTATTGTAAAAAGTGTAAGCATAAAAAGTTGTAGATTTTTTTACTTTTTTATTTTTTTGCTTTTGTAAAAAACTTTTTTCGATAGAACGTCACCGGAAATTGAAAAAAAAAACTATTTTTTAAATCTTTGGGTCCCCCATTCCTCGGGGGGTAGCTGGGCATCGGGAGCATTTTACAAATTTCTATCCCATATATTTTAAAATCATAAAACTTCAGGTTTTCAATATTTTATTCCCTAACCGGATTCCGCTTGGACTATACTCTTGGTCTTCAATAAGAACTTAATATAAAAATTCGACAAATAAAAATGAGTAAGAAAATAAAAAAGATATTTAAATGTCATAATATTGTTACCCTGTGGATCTTTGATATTTAAAGTGTTTATTTCAGGTTTTACAATCAATGATAGCAGATGGCATCGCTACGGGAGTCGTTAGACCACTTACTTACACCATGTTCTCATCTTCCGAAGTATCCAGGGCCTTCAAGTTTTTTTCTTCTAGAAGACATAGAGGAAGGGTTCTGTTTGATTTAAGAAATCCGCTAAATTCCAATGTGATGCCAAGGTAAAGTGTATCTGGGCGTATCATAAAATTAAAACGAAATGTGTCATATGAGTGCTTACTAAAACAAATATTATTTTATCTAAATGGATTGATTACAATTTTTTATCGGTAATATCTAAATTAACCTTAGCCGTAGTCGTAACCGAGTGAAGCGAGTTGAAATCCCGGGTCTCGCACCTCTAATATTTTCATGTGCGAATCATTTCCAACATGATTACCACTTGTCTTAACGGTAAAGGAAAAACATCATAAGGAAACCTGCATGTCTGAGAGAACCTAACAAGTTTTCAAAAGATATGTGAAGTCCGCCAACCCGCATTTGACCAGCATGGTGGACTGTAACCTGATTCCCCTCGTACTGAAGGGCGGCCCGTACCCAGCAGTCGGACGCTAAAAAGGGCTGAATACATACATTGAAAATTTTTGTTGGTCCACATATCCGTAAACTACCCAATAGACGCAGATGGGGTGATTTCGTAACACTTTTTCTTGCACGTATTTTCTAATTTTTCAGGCTTGTATTGAATCCTCAATTTGCATATGTCGTAGTGGGAGATCAAGATGAATTATGTGTTAGTATAATGGATTTATTAATAAAACGTGGCGCGAAGAAAATTTTCTTACAAATAAGATCCAAAGTGGTTTCTCCGTTCATAGAGGCTAAGATGTTGTAAGTACAAAAATGCATTTAATAAAAGATACCTATATTCTTACAAAAAAATATTCGTAATCGAAATTAATATTCCTCGTTGTTTGTTTAAAATAATAAAACTAAGCCAGTAAACAATAAAACATTCACGTTTGTACTCCAAATTGAACTTCGATCAACAATACTACTAGATATCGGGTCGGCGTAAGAAATTCGTCTCGGTGAATATGAACTCATTTGAAAAATGAGCGTATATTTCGATTAGTTCTGTTGAAACACTGCCTACGCTGGCACGTTCACAATGCTGCAATATATATTTAAAAATGCAAAAATAATACGCGAAGAAGAAATTTTTCAAAAGGAGTGTCTTATTTTCGGTAAATACATGTAGTAGATTTAACCTACGAAACAATATAAAAATTAAATTATGAACAATTTAAAATCCGCTTAGAACTTAGGCCCAGGTCGGCCAATACATGCGCCAATACAAAGAAGCAAACAGAAACAAAACATAACGATTTAGCTCACAAAGCAAGAACGGGGGAAGAAAGTGCTTTATGTTTTGTCTTGGTTCGTTAGTATACAAATAAAGCAGTATACAGGATATTCGCGCGGACAGAATTTAGCTTTGATTTTGTATGTGACACGTTATCTAGTAGTATTGTTGATCGAAGAAATTGAATTATTTTATTTCAGACTATGGATGACTCAAGGTATTGAGGTAAAAGTAAGCCGTTATGGAATTGAGGACGAAGAAAAATGTAGACTTTTTATAAGTGACGCTGCAAAATTAGGGCCAATTGAAGGCATATTTATTGCTCTGTACAAGATAGCTGCTCCAGCATATATAAATGTGCCAAGATCAATATCTAATTTGGATAAATTATCAAGAAACATGGATTACCTTAGGTACAATCACATTTTATCAGTACAAAATATCACAGCAAAATTTCTGCGAACACAAAAAGTTTATATATTAATTGAATTATATAATATTGCAGATACTTTGTAATACTAGCAAGTAATGTTAACAGTTCGGAAGATGAACTTGTGTTCTCAATGTGCAGTAAAATATGTCACTATCGTAATAACATTGGTTTGAATGCTCTTCTATGTCGAGCGGAATTCGTAGATGAGGTAAGTAACGGGAATAAGCACCTTGTTGTTAGAAATTTGGTACAGCTCATATCGAAATTCATCATCATCATCATTTATTGATGTTCTATCATGCAAAATAAAAAAAATGTATAAATAGAGTCTAATTAAAAACAAATAGTCTGAGAGAGATTTTTATTCAATAACTTATTTGTATTATTATATGGTATCGATATATAACTTTGTCTTACATTTTCAACTGGATTATGCAACTATGAATAATTTATTGTTTGGTTTATTTACATCATTTTATAAAGCTCATTTTATTAGGCTTTTATTTTTTTGTTTATTGTGTTCTCAATAAGAATTCAAAGAAGGTTTTTTTTTATTACAGTTCGATGGTCTTGGTAAAAACCAAAAAACGTATCAATCGATACACCAAGTTTTAAATAGCATGGAAAAGAGTATAAAACAAAATTGTAGCAATGTGATATCATATAATACAAACAAAAATGCTAAGATGGAATATTCAAGAAAATTAAATGACATTTTAGGTATGTATGAACAATTCATATGTTGCTTTTATCTTTTTTTATTATAATATTAGAAAACAAAAATTACTTTTTGTCTTCAGGCAAACAAACGAACGGAACTAAATTAGATATAAATGCATCATTACACGATATTGCAATAGAAAAGCTCGCAATAAAAGAAATAAGAGGTTTAATTTTAGAACACTATCAAGTTGCAGTATCTGAGAGAAAACTTATCCAAATGTCTTTATCCAGGTAAAAAATATCAAAATGGTAAATAATCATAATGCACAATAACTTTTACTTCAACCATTATTAAAAAAAAAGGATGGATGGATGTATTACAGGATAACACTAGAACGGCTAAACAGATCTAGATCAAATTTGGCTTAGATATATATATATCTAACTTTTATATATATTGTAGTCTGAAATAGCACAAAGCACAGGTTTGTGTCATATTTATCCCGGAAAAAGGTACGGTTCCCGTGGGATACATTTATTTTTGTTTAGGGACACACCCGAAGCGAAGCGAGGGAGAGTCGTAAGTAGTAAATAATAATTAAAACAAAACCCATATCACACTTACATAAACGCTTACTTTCAGTATCCAGAATGTTGAATACTATTTAGACGAATTAAAGAACAACATTGGGCTTGATGCAATAATCTCGTACGTCAATGACGATTCTTATGAAGCATGTGATTCATTCAAACAAATGTTAACGTTGACGAATAATATTCCAGAGGTAATTTTTAAACTAAATATATATTTCAAAGGGCATAAAATAAATTGCTAGAAGACGGGACTAGAAGGATAAAAGGGCAAATATTTATTTGATTATACTATAGAAGTGTTCAACTCGGACTGGTTGTGATCAAGTGCTCCATTAAGGATGACCAACTAATATAAATAGACTCACTAAATGTATTTAATATGGGAACTGATATACGAATGATGCGAAAGATGCCTTTGACTAAATGCAAGGAAGTTTGCAGAATAAATATCAATGGTAACTTTACGAGCATAATAAATGTGTTATACGGATCTAGGTAATGTGACAACAGGCAGTATTGAATAATGTCGGCTAACAAAAACACTATTATAATACTGGCAGAAAAACAGAACAGAATTATGTGTAACTAAGACAAGAATTCAATTATTTTTATTAATTTTAGAAACTCTATGACATGGATTATGTTGACCCTGCTTCTGAATATTTGATTTTAATTCCTGGTTTTCAAGGCGATTGTGGCGTGTTTGAATCTTTATGCTCCACTCTCAAAATTAAAGGCATAACTGTCCAACTTGGACCAGATTTAGCAGCAAATACTATATCAGGAATCGCAGAAAGTATATTGAAGGTTAATATATTAAATATTTTAAATCTTGATAAATAAATATAAGCAAATAATAATAGTATACAAAAAAGTTTCAAAAACGTAAAGATTACAATATTTTGATGACAAGTTAACTAATTTATATTAATCTTTTCTAATAATCGCTAGATAATGATCAAAGATCTTAAAAAAAAATGTTTGAATCAATTTTTTACCAACATAAGTAAGATAACTTAATAGAAGCAGGGCCAAGCCCTCAATAGCTAATTATTTCTAAGATTAACATCAAAGTCACACTATAAAAATTATTTAGATTGTATTTAATTATACATTATCTAGATTGTATTAATTCTACTTGTTTCATTTCTATCCTTATTTAGAATGCTAGTAGATAAAAACTAGAAGAAAAGAATAAATTTTATCTCTTGGGATACTCATGTTTGGTTGTAATTATTGCTTTGGAAGTTGCAGCAATTATTAGAAAAAGAAAGGTATTTGTTTTATAGTAACAAAAATATAAAATATTGTATTGTATTTGTATATAAATAAATTAGTTTCAAAAATGAGATAACATACACAAAAATTAATATTTACAAGGCATCGTTGGATACGATAGTTTTTTGACCTAGACAGTAGCCCAGATACTTTGCGTGTATACAAGCTCTAAATACGTATACGAGTGATTTGGCAGGACGTCAAAAGGAATTACAAAACGTACTAATTGACTCAATATTTATTACTGAAATAAACTAAAGAAACAAAACACACAAAACTGAAAGAAGCCAAATAAAAACAATTAACAAGTTTGAACGAAACGTTAAGGTTTTTGTCAAGGAAACAAAAGAACGTGTGCCTTATTTCTCAATGAACATATCAGAATAAGTGTAGAATCATTATATAACAGAATTGTACTGGCTATGAAATATAACCCTACATTTACGCTTTGATCTGAAATATTTCTGCTAAAAGCGAACAATGATTCAAATGCTGAAATTGTACCATACGATTATAATTTGGCCAAATATACCCAAAAGACAGAAAAGTAGTAAA